TTTTTCGAAATTAGCATTTTCGGTCGAAAAAGTTAATCAACTAAGCTTGTTACCAAACAAGTTAATTAGCAAATTTGATTGGTCAAACCTTTAAATAAACTTCAATCCACTAATACATAGAAGAGTCCTATAGTCATAAAAAAAAAGAGATAAAATCCTATTTATTAAAGAAAAATCTGAGACATGGAAAAAGGTTCTACCACCAAAACTATGGATCAAAAAATGATGAACCGTTCATCATTCTTCCAAACCGGGTTAATCAGTTTCCAGCTGCCGTAATTTTTATGTACATTCTTTTTTTTTTTCCCCAATGGAGTACAAATGCTATACAATGTTGATGTGGATGATTTCAGTTTCTCCTTCATTTTCACGAGAAAAATGGGAAAATTTACTTCTTCTACCCTGCTGTATGTACCTAAATGGTTCACATTACCAGAGATCCTTCAGGCAAATGGTCGTCTGAAGAATCCGATGGCTGAGATTTAGGTTTGGTCATAATTCGCGAGAATCCATAGCCGAGTGAGCTTCCACTGGCTTCAGAGAGCTGAATTGAGTACATAAAACATTCGAGTTGGTCAGGACCTATAAATTGAAGGACTGGACGGTATTTCATAAAAGCATATACGAAACCTTACAGGGCCATTTTGTAATATCTCAAGTTTTGCATTTTTTTTTTCGAAGACAGTCGAATAACTTTTGAGATTATTTCTTAAGATAACTACAATTTCTTTGTGTACCTCAGTAAGCTCAGACAGATGGCGGGATCTGAACTCATTAATAGTAGCTGCTATCTCTGACATGGGCAGTTTAGCCTATATAACACAGAAGAAAAAGGATAATCATGATTAAAAATATTATTTGAAACAACTACTGAAGAATGAAAAAAAAAAATAAAAAAAATTACGATGCAACTGGTCGAAAGCCCAATGATTCTGATAGGTAAAATTACTGCTCGTAGATGATAAATATACTGACAAGATCTATTATTCATCTCTTCCTCTCTTTTTTTATTTTTTTTTTTCACCTTCATATCAATGTAAGGTATGCATCATGATAAGGAACTACATATCTGCAATTTGTGTCCTACTTGAAACTACATAAAGAGGACTTTTGAAATAAATGGTTCAATAGCTGAAAAGAATAGTTAATCATCAATTGACACAAGGGTGAAGCTAATTCTATCGTGTAAAAATCAATCCCCTTACTTGTGCAAGGACAGCAGCTGCCAATTGTAAACTAGGCTCCAAAGTCTCAGGAACAACCTGTCACAATATTTAATATTTATTCATCTAAAAGTTTGATTCAAGGTAAAAAGTGCAAATCTATAGTTCCATAGTAGTTGTTATTCACAGCTTAAAGCATGAATCAGCACCCCAGATTACAAATTACTGCTCCAATCTGTTTCCCTTCTATAAATTACACCATCAAGAGGGTCAGACTCGGGCATATACAAATCTAAAGGGGAAGATCACAACACTTTGAGGGCTATTTTGTAAATTTGACAGAAAACTCTAGGCTTTTTAGGCAAAATTAATCCGAAAATAAGAGATGATTAGAGTAATGTATGAAACATACTGCTGTTGCCCCAGCCTTCTCTAAATTGAGGCCATGATCAACATCATGAGCACGGACATATGTTTTGACATTGGGGAAATACTTGCTTAAAGCCCAAACAGCTCTGTAATTTGCTCCAGGACTATCTAGAGTTACTGCTGCTGCACATGCTCTTTCGGCACCAACTTTATGGAGGACCTGCACCAGATAAAATAAGGAAGAAATAACAAGTCTAGAAATTTTAAATAATAGTTTTGGACATATATATATATATATATATATATATATATATTAAGGAAGCATTTAGGGGGTGATTGGATATGGACTAAATCGGTTATGATCCAACTTGGTGACTTAATGACTTAAAGTGAGAGCTATTTTGAATAAAATAGATTTAAAATTAAATAATATTAAAATGTAATTATTAAAGTTGATAGTGTAAGAGGAATTATAGGAAGTGATAGGTAGTTAAAATTATGTGAATGTGTGTATAGTGAATTAAAGTTGATGTGATGTGTGTGAAAATGACTAGTTGGTATCATTTAATTAATTTATAAAAAGTAGCAGAGTTGAGTAGAGTTGGATTTTGAATTAGATGACTGGATATGAAATGACGCAACCGGTTATAACCGGTTGAGTTGGATTATAACTCATATCCCTTATAATTTTGGTAGACAGATGAGATGTGTGTAACTAGGCGAAATCTATAGTCATATGTTCAGTCTAACCTACCTCTCGACTACCGGCATCACCAAAGTACACAGGCAGGTCAAGTGAACGTCCAATTGCAACTCGATCGCTGGTAATAAAAGTTAAGACAGCGGATCACAAATCCACTTTCCAGAAAAAGCTTTTCCATCAAATTAAACATTTCTAGATACAGTAATGATGAAAATAGTGGTACCTCCTGACATCAAGGGCAACAAATGGGATCAGTCGTTCAGAGAGAAGCTGGGCGATAATCTGAAAAAATATTGAAGTTAAAATTATCATGAGGTGACAAAATTAATCTTGATATTCATAGATTAGGTTCACAATAACTGTAGTGGTATTAATGGATCTCGAAGGTTGTACAATACCTGCCCAACGCGTCCAAAACCACATATAATTATGTGATCTTGCAAATCATCCGTCTGAATAAATCCAAGGAAAAAGAAAATTATTGTACTTCATATTGGGTAAGTTGGAAGAGATGCAATGAGGTGAAGATCCATATTTGATAATATGATCTTGCAAAAAAATCCGCACGACGGAATAGGTAAATTATGATGCCTTAAATTGTGTAAGTAGTACGATGTGGACTGAGTTGAAGATTCGTACAACCAAATATAATATGTTTTTATTCATAGAACAATCTCACAGGAATGCCTCAGGGGAAATATTTTATCCAATTAAAAATGTGTGTAAACCAACTAATCTCAGCATACTATACATGCAGGAACAAAACAGAAGCAAACAAAGAAATTACTAGTGCAGTACTCTATCTCAAGTCAAATAAGAGTACGCTTAGTGTAGAATTCTTTTTTTAGATAGAGCAACACAGTTTTCTCATTTTATGGTTGTTCACCAGACTAAAGCTCGAACTTGCAGTCGGCTTGAGCAGATAAGATATAAAATAGGGAATGTCATATATTTATTTGGAATAATATTTTACTCCTGAAATTGAAAACTGAGAAGGCACAAGATACTGTCAAAATACAGAAGGTTAGATATAAAAACTACTCTGTTGTCTGAACAAGCTAAATTGAAAGCCAAAACTGTGGAGTAAGGAATTATAAATTAACCCCACAATGTAGTCTATTTTGCAGTTGAGACAATGATCAGTGTCAAAATGGTCGGGGTAACACATTATCGCATAATCATAAATATAAAGAGCAGCTTACCTCACTTTCAACAGGTAACAGACTTCGAACATCATGTAGCTCAAACCGAGATGCTATTAATTGGCCTCCAGCAGCTAACCATGGAGTGAGAGCCATCGAAATCCCAACCACAAGAAAAAGAAGTGATGACAACTGTGAGGACATTATACCCTGCAGCAAAGAAGGTCGACTCAAGCAGGTACATTAGCTTATGGAGTTTATTAGCGAGATACAGGAAGGATTTAAAGCTGTGCATATTGTGTAAGGTATAAGTATTCTTTTTTCTCTATATTCTGAAGATCCAGTCTGGCTTTCCGCTTTCAAGCTTTCGCTAGGTCTTTTTAAAAGTTGTGTATGACTTATATACTATTCAGCTTGCCAGAGTTTATAGCTTTATTTGAACATATCAGGCAAGGAATATAAATTATACGATGATGGAAAGTCTAATATGATGGAAACCTGGTTAACAGCTTCCCCAAAAGCTACAAAAGCAAATTCTCCACCCGGTGCAAGTAAAAGACCAACTCTTATCGCCGATACCATTGAAATACCAAAAAGTCTGCCAACAAGAGCAATCAAAATAGTCTTGCCAGCAAGAAGGAGCCCTAATGTCCCTGAGATTACTGGGAAATTTGAAAGTAGAAGTTTCGGATCAATAGACATCCCAACCTGTCAACAAGTAGTACTCCTCATAAGAAATAAGCAATAGAGAACCACAATAGAATATTCACTATAAAGTGAAAAATCATATTAACCAGAGGCAGTAACAGCATTTATATGGGTTACAGGAGCAAGTTTTTAATAGAAATGAATTAATGAAATACACCAACAAATGCTATATGAACTCAACATAACTAGAATTGAACTTTAATCAAATACATGGTCATCAAAGGCACCATACCGTCATAAAGAAGAGACCTAACAGAAGTCCACGATATGGAGCAATATCAGATTCAACCTGCAATGAGAATTCTGTTTCTGCTAAAAGCAAGCCAGCCAAAAATGCTCCTAAAGCCATGGAAAGGCCAGCCTGTTATCAAAACAAGATTGATACTCATTTCACAAAATAAATCAAATAATGAACAATGATGTAAGAATTATAATAACAGACAATAAGATTAGTTTCTTACCCTGGCAGTTAGAAGACTAGTACCTAGGATAACAAGAAGAGTATTTGCAGAAAATATTTCTGCATTCTGATTTTCAGCAATTTGCTTATAAATTGGACGAAGCAGCTGCACAAGAGGGAACAAACTTCGAAATAAAATTGATTGTTTGTATGGAATAAAATATGGTGGGAGCAGAAATATGGAGTTTATAAAAAAAGAACATAACTGTGTTTACTTGACCTAGATAGCTATTAAGTATAAACACATAACAATTTACATTGTTAAAAGGTGACTCTTGTAGAAACCTCAACCCCACCAACAGGAGCAGGGATGTGCAGCAATGCCATTAAGAATTAGAACACTTACCAAACGTCCACCAGCTATTATGGCTGAGATGGCAACAACAGCCTTCACAGCAGCCAACCCAAGAGCTTCGGCGATGGCTTGGAAACCCACCTGGAGAAAATAATATTTTGGTTATTCAAACACTACCAGCATATCTTTCTGTTCAGCACAAGTTAGATGGACCACCATGAGGAAGCATTGTGATATCCATTTCTAAACCAATCCCGTATGGCATTAACTTACTTAAATTAGTATGGGAACTCACTATGGAACAGTGGAAGTGTACGAACTAAAAAGAAAAAAGAAAAAAAAAATATTAAACATGCCTTGTAAACTGGCCTTACATACTCACGCACCCAATCCCAAAGGGATAGGTCCGATGTGATTAAAATATTTTATTCAGCTATAATAATAATAATAATAATAATAATAATAATAATAATAATAATAATAATAATAATAATATTTTTATAATAATAATAATAATAATAATAAAAATGTTACCCCTCCTTTAGATGAAGTAGGTGAAACAAGGGGTATCAGTATAAGCAAAACCACGACAGCCAAATCCTGTAATCAACAGAGATTGCACTAATGTTCATAACAGAAAAGTAATCTTAAATGATAAACAATAAGGATAGCCTAATTAGATGGAAGAAGCAATGAAAAGACAAAGTAACACGAGAACAGATACCTGAAAGAGTAACACAGAAAATGTAGCTCGCCCATGGCGTGATGTACTCTCACCACGTTCCTGCAATACCTATACAAACCGTAGATAACTACATTAAATGCTTCGGTGGTGCCAAAAAAATTAAAACCCCTGGCAGGTGCTTATAATACAAATATTCAAGGAAAATAAAACAAATGAGATGGCAAAGAGTTAAGAAAAGAACCGAAAGAACAATATACGAAGCAAACGTCGGGAAACATAAAAACCCACACACACACCATCAATAAAGTAGACTAGAATAATGTATTTTACCTGAAGGACAACCGCAGTTGAAGATAATGCAAGCCCATTGCCAATGACAATTGAGGCAGGACCCGCCAGCCCAGCAGCATAATGAGCAAGCAAGCCTACAACAACAGCTGTCACCAAGACCTGCATAAAAAATGAACATAGAAAGAAATTGAACTCCTTTTGATTTCATGCTCATGATAGTTCAAGTTTGCAGTTACAAGAATGTACAGGTTCAATTCACCTGAGCAGAGCCCAAACCAAACACATATTTCTTCATGGAACTTAGTCTTTCAACAGAGAGCTGCCATAAAAGAACAGAGTAAAGATCATATACTAGTCCACAAATGGCTACTAAGTGGATTCCAAAGGGTTCTCAAGGCCTAAATCTTGAAAGTTCATAAACTCTACCTCAAGTCCAATATTAAATAGCAAGAAAACGACCCCAAATTCAGCAATGGCCTTAGTTCCATGTACATTGCGAATAATAGAGAGGCCATAAGGTCCAATTAAAATTCCAGCAGCCAAATATCCAAGAACAGGACTGCCTACAATCACAACATAAGGATATTAAGCAGCGAATGATATCATAAAATACATGCATATAAGGGGATTCTGACAGAAATGTATACTATCAAAACAGCAAAAATGGGACCAAACTATGAGAAATAGCCTGCTGAAATATGTGCCATTATCTTTTATGCTTGCAAGATACTCTGAGGAGAAATACCTAGGCAATAATTGCCATGCGAATAATAAGGTTATGCATACAATACAATCACTTGACCATATAAAGATCAGACCACTTGCAATCTGGCTTAATATTTTTCCTTTCAGACAAACCAATAGGTGCTGGGAGCAGACACACTGAAATTCCATTTACCTCCAGGTATTTTCTGAAAAATAGGCACAAATATGACACTAGCAAGCAGTAACCAGAGCATGTCCAACAAGGACGCTTCCTCCTCGTTTACCTGAAAAGAAGAAGTGGGGCGACCGAAAA